GCTATCATTGAATCACCTCATCGGCAGTTAACATTAAATGAAATTTACCAGTGGTTCACCAATACATTTGCTTATTTTCGAAGAAATGAAGCTACATGGAAGGTAAATGCAGATTTTTTACATTTCAAATTATCATGAAAAAAAAAAAAAAAAAAGAATTACTAAAATGATTTTATATTGAAAAATTAAAATTGTTCCATTTTGCATTTCCTGTTCACACTGATATTGTCTATATAGTACAAGATTTTACAATTTGTGTTTCTACTAAAAGAATTACTGTTAATTAGTAACTTTCTGGAATTTGTAATAATATGAGTTATGTTGTTTTATGTACTTACAGATAAAAATAAATGTCACAAGATTAGTTTTTTTTATTTATGGTCTGTTATAAAATCTAATTATTAGTTTTATATTACTCTAGTTTCTACTATCAGTTAAAAGCAATATTTTTTTTTTTACTGACTATTACTACTACTATTATTTTTACTGTTTTAATATCTTATAATATTTAACTCAAGTTAATCTTCTTGTCCAATCACCAGTTAAGCAGTATTAAAATTGGTATGTACTTAGATAAGGGACCACTTGAAAACAATCTCTTATAATCAAAAATATTTTTCAGCTTTAAATAATGCACAAAGGGTTGATAACCCATAAAAAACCAATCAATAACTCAAAAATAAATAAATAATATAAAATCATATCTGAAACTATGCTTACTGTGATTACCCCATTTCTAATATTTTACTATTAGTATTTTAACTGTGCTGAATTCATGATTGAAAGATGATTTGGGATCCATCAATGTCACTTTCCTAAACCCCCCCCGATGAGAATCACGGATTTATGAATATTGTGGGTGGTGTAATGGATTGCGACTGGGAATGCGACAATGGAGAACACTGTTCAAGTTCCACTCAAGTTTGTTACATTCACTAGTGCACAAATAACTTCAGGAAATGTATAAATCCATCTCCTCTTCTCTCTCCGGACTGGACTCTCTAGCCATGGTTGGTAACCAGTCTAGGAGAAAGAGAGCTCTAAATTAAAAAGCATAACAATTGTCTATGATCCCCTACCCACAGAAATGACGATGGGATGAAGTATAATTCAAAGACTAATTACTAAGCTATATAAACACTGTTTATTTGAATAATATTACTTTTCTGATTCTTTCTGTTACTTATTGTAACTAGTGATGTTATAATAACTACATTAGTCAAGACTAATGATATTACTATTTTCTCTGCACCATTGCAGCATAACTGACAAAACGAGTTGAGATTGATGGAAAGGAGAAAGACATGAATCTAATCTTTCCGAAGTGTATTAAAACAAAATTGATATTAAATGTAAAGAACAAAACTTTTGTTTATTGAATTCATTCTGTAAAATTTAAATTAGTATCAGAATTTTTTAAAAAATTATTTAAAATTTAACTTGTTTCCTCATTGACATTTTTTTAATATTTTTTTAATCTTTAAAATTATGTAATTATTTATGCAAATTTTTTGAGTAAATTTATTCCATGAATCATTGTCACTATGATAACACTTGTGTGCTTTAGTTAAAATGAAATGTTATAATGTACTTAATAAATATTGACTAAAATGATATCTTTAAAAACTCGTGTTTTTCAACATACACAAAAGAAACAAAAACACGGGCAAAAATAATGTTTTGTTACATTCCAAAATTATCATTCATTTTATCAATACTGATTATTTATTAAATGTATTTCAAAATAAAAATTTCCATATATATAAATACAAGGTCTTTTTATAATTTATCCAGCCATTTCATATTAATAAAATTATGCCAGCATCCCTTTCACTTTTAAAAAATGTCCAAAAAGATTTCTTTGGGAATCATCATCAGCTTAATCTCATCAACAGTGTTTTATTGGCAATTACAGTTTTGGGAAAAGTCAGAAGTTGCAGGCAGCCAAATGTGAATGTAGCTGAGGGAACTGAAAGACTTTGGTGGTGCAATGCTTTGTTCCCTGCCACTATTTTTATAAGACATGACATAGTAATGGATTGTGACTCGAATTGTGGAATCAGAGAGCTGAGTTCAAATTCCAGTCAAATTCATTACATTCACTTATGTGCTAATACACTTGGGAAAGGTATAAATAAATTCATCTCTTCTATTCCCCACCTATGGGTAAATAGCAGGACAGACTGGGTTCTATAACCTTGAGTGGCAACCAGTCTAGGAGAAGGAAAATTCTGAATTCAAACAAGCCTGGAGAGGGTTGGGCTCTGTCAGGCTATCTTTCCCAAGATGCAACACTTCTACTGAAGGTGCAGTAAATATGGTGCACCCCTCCTCCAACTAATGAGTTATGGGAATCTTTTCCCTTCAGCTATGGGTAAATAGCAGGACAGACTGGGTTCTGTAACCTTGAGTGGCAACCAGTCTAGGAAAAGGAAAACTCTGAATTCAAAACTGTATGTAGCCTTAGCAAAGCACATATTATACAGCAAAGGAAAGGAGGAACAAAATAGAAAACTTATAGAGAAAGTGGATAGTGACTCAGATTGAGGAATTGGAGAGCCGAGTTTGAATTCTAGTTGAATCCATTACATTCACTTATGTGCTAATACCCTTGGGAATGGTTTGAATCATTTTCTTCAAAGCTACAGGTAAATAACAGGACAGACTAGTTTCTGTAGCCTTGGATGGCAACTAGCCTACCGCAGAAAGAAATGACAACCTGCTGCAGGAATAAAATCTGCCTTGTCAGCCATGTATTGAATATACAAGATACATGATGGCCTAAGCATGTATCACGCATGGCACATAACTGACTGACTGACTGACTATCAGTATTATAATAGTGGTTCTAGAGGAACGGTGGAGTCCTGGATTGGCTTGGGTAACAACCAGTCTAGGAGAAAGAAAACACTGAATTCAAACAAGCCTAGAGAAGGTTGGGTTCTGTCAGGCTATCTTTCCCAAGATACACCATTTTTACTGCAGTACATATGGTGTCCCTACGTCTCTAATGAGTTACAGGACTTGTAATAAGACTTAAATAGTCATTGTGAATGTGACTACTATACAGTATACAATCTCTCTTGATGATGTCTCACTGCTAACTGCATGAAAACAAGGGAAGTGCTTGTACATGTGCAGTAAGATCTCCTCTGATTGAATGTCAAGCTAATCAAGGCTACAACACTAGTTTTTGAGAGATTCAAATGGATGGATATGTTCTGGACAAACCAAGTATATTTTAAGATGAAACTTAATTCTGAGGATAAGAAGTTATTATTTACATTTGGACTAACAGCTTAGTAGATCAAAGCATTGTTTTGTGAATTTGGTGATAGAGTAATTCTGATTTGGAAACTGCTATCAATAACTCAGTACTAAAAAAAAAGAACATGACATTTCTCAGCATGAACTGTTGAATGAGAACAATCTATCCATGGAGACTAAATAAAGGTTACTTAGATCATCAGAAGTCATCCTTGAATTAATTTTACAAATGAATACTATTTTGGACAGTTTAATTTATAAAAGTCTTAATTACTTAACCCTCCTCACCAAAAAAAAAAAAAATCTGGGAAGATATTATTCATTCCTTATGAATAAAATTTGCACAAATTTTTCAATTTCTAAAGTGGCAGATTCCAAATATATCACAACCTAGCAACTATATATAAGTATTTAATATGTAAAACATTGGATTAAACTATGCAATAAAGATACTAGCTCACCTCGTTATGGATTCGGGAAGTAGTAGATCAAAGCTAAACCGGATGAATTAAAAAGACAACACTATATAGAAGAGAGGTGTGAAAAATCCTGTTTTCATTGGCTGACGTTGACTGACATATATCAATATGAAGTGTCAAAGTCTGGCCTTGATCGGCTTGTGATTACTGTTTTTGCAATGTCGCAGTGCGTAGCACGATACTTTCAAGGAGGTGGCTTGACTCATCTTGCATCAGGTCAGGGTTGCTGTTGGAGCCAATATGATACAAAACCTGAAATGGGCAATGAGGACAGTGCATCACTGAAGACCACCCTTGATGCATTTAAATATATATATATATATATATATATATATATATATAGGAGTATTTACCAGATACACTACCCACTTTTTAAGGTTTCTTTAGGTGATATTGGCAAATTTTATATATATTTTTAAATGTTCTATTTCATTTCCATCCTGGGTAAAATGATAAACTATGTCCAACAGCAAGGCCTCTGATCAGGATGTTTTCAGGGGCGTGGAACCACCTCTTAATTGCTGGTGTTCCCAGGTCCACCCTCACCTGGGGTGGTAGCACCTGTTAGGGTCCCAGCTATGGGCAAATAGTTAACCCCGAAACTGAGGTAAAAAGCATTATAACTAGGTTTTAATACCAGAAATACTTTGTAAAAAAATTATTACGAGAAATAAATTTTTGAAGAAGAAAAACTATTACCAGCAATATGTTTCTGAAAAAAAATATTACCAGTGTTGTAGAGTAGTTTTTACAGTGGAGGCTTGTATTTCAATAAGTCGGTCCTAAAAAGGGTCCAACGTACAAAACGTTAAGAACTTGAAATAAGAGTTAATGACGCAACAATCTAGTTGTGATGGTTGATACTTCAATGTCCGACATCGACTGACTCACACAACACCACTGAGCCCAACTGGCCACTGCTACTACTACTTATTATCTGTCTATTACAATAGAATAGGTATTATGGTATAACAACCAGCAATACATTTTTTGAAATTATCAGCTATATATTTTTGAGGAAAAAAATATTACCAGAAATAGATTTTTGCCAAAACAAAAATATTACCAGGAAAAAAGTTGTCAGCATTAAATGACCCATTGAGGTTGATATGCCGTAAAACAAACCAAACCAAACACTATAACAGGAAGAACCACAGAAGGGGAGGGGTATGGCAAGAGTAATGCAAACTGGAAGGGAGAAAAAAAAATTATTTATTGTTGGATGCACTCATCTTTTTGGGGGTTGGGATGGTGCAGCTGTGGATCATCATTTAAGTTGGAGTGCTGCAGGTGCCATGCCAGGCTTGCCAGCCATGTGCGAGAGTTGAGAGGAGGAAGTAGTAGCAGCCCTAATGT